GGGGGGGGGCAAAAAACCAAATTCCCCTAACTTTTGTGGGGGAGCGGAGCAATGAGGGCAAACTGCAGAGGTTGTTGAGCGACACAGACGGACCATGGTTTTATCCTAGCTGTGTCACTGCGGTGTGGGCCATGGGTTTATCCTGTAGAGTTAATACATACTCCTTCCGTTTCCAAATAAGTGTCTCATCTTAGTGCAATTTTATACTGAGGGGGTGTTTGGTTCCAGGGACTTTTTTGTGTTGGGACTAGAAAAAGTCCCTAGCAACCCAAACAGGGTGAGACTTTTTGCTAAAAGTCCTTAGAAGCACCTCCTTGAGAGCCTTTTTCAAAAAGTCTCAGGGACTAGAAAAAGTCCTAGGACTAGAGAACCAAACACCACCTGAAGCTAGTACAAAGTTGAGACATTTATTTTTGGGACGGAGAAAATAATTATGTTCTTCAACTACTCGTTTTACGTCTCTAAAAACTGTCAAAATCAAGTTATATCTTCCTAAATTACTGGTTCATGTGACACTTAAAGTGACACGAGATTGAGCTAAGCAAGGAGCCTTGGAAATTTGTTGTGCAACCTCTCAAGCATCTATCTAATTTGGGCTAATTTTTGTGCACAAGAATAAATTGTATACAACTACACGATTGTTGTTGTAGACATTAGAATTAACACAAGACAATAATAAACTTCTGCAATTTACGAGATGTGTGAACGTCAAATTTAAGTTGTCCTCTCGTGATTTGATTGTCGTTCGTATTTGGCTCATTGATGTTAAGGCCCGAACGTTAGGTGGGAGCCCTTCCCAGACCGAACAAATTGGTTCCCCAACGCATGGGGAATTGATTGTTCGGAGCGAGAGGCATCCCAACCCGAACCTTCTCTCACTCATGCTGGCAGGTCAAGCTAGTGTTTGATGTGTTCTGCCATGAAAAAATGAACATGCCCATTTAGATACCAAACTAAAATAACAGAAAACCAACTAAAAACTGAGAAAAAACTTTAGAGTAAAAATCACATAGAAATCTAGAAATTCATATAAAAAATCTGATGGAATATATATATTGCCATGGATTATATGATAACACTGGACTATTATACTTGTTAGAACTACCACACATAAAAAAATACTTACAAAGAAAGGTCATTATAGTGGGACAAGTAGCAAAACTATCATGGTCTGCAATAAAAAAGGAAACTTTTTGCCATGCTCTAACAAGAAAATAAAATGCCATACTAGAAAAAACAATTTGCCTTGGCAAATTTTAGTGCCATTAAATGATGTAAAAAACACCATGATACATACAAACTAATTTTGATGATGCTCAGGTAAGAAAGCATCAACTAAATTGCCATGGTTAAAAAAAAGTGTACATTTATCGAGAGAAGAATAAGTTTTCCATGAGCAATACACAAAATCTGCCGTAATACATGAAACTAAATTTGCCATGGTCAATTATTGAAAAATAAAGCAATGATCAATAAAACTAAATTAGCCATGGAGAATTACTAAATTTGCCATGATCTATGAACTAAATTTGCCATGATCTATGAACTAAATTTGCCATCGTCCATAAAAAATTCGATGGTCAATTACTGAAAAATATGCCATGGTCAATTACTAAAACTTGCCATGAATCATAAACTAAAACTGACATGGTGCATTACTAAAATTTGCCATGATCCATGAACTAAATTTGTCATGGTTCATAAACAAAACAAAAATTGCCATGGTCAAAATGCTAAACTTGCCATGTTCTATAAAAAGTAAATTTGTAATCATGAATTACTAAAAATTGACATGATCCATAAGTAAATTTGCCATGGTTCACAGTTAAAAAAATATCATGTTGAATTGCTAAAATTGCCATGGTCTATAAAATAAAATTGCCATGGTGAATTACTAAAATTTGTTAAGATCAATGAACTAAATTTGCCATGATTCATAATAAAAAATTGCCATGGTAAATTACTAAAATGTGCCATGGTGAAGTATTAAAAGTTCCATGACCATGAAATAAATTTGCCGTGGTTCATTTTTTTTGCCATGGTGAAGTAATAAAACTTGCCATCGCAACTACATGAAGGTCCTAACGCGACACATGTATAGGAGACCAATCGATCCAACTACGCGTGAGGCATGAATCGCAAACAATATCGTAATAGAACCATCACCAATAAAACAAACTGTGCACGATTGTAGAGACATTAAATACA